TGAAAAATATTGTTTGTCAACATCTACTTATAATGCAAGAAGATTAAGAAAGTTCCATCAACTAAGTTTAAAGTAAGATATTTTTCATTTGTATGTTTCCATTTCAAAGTATTGTATTATCTAGCTCTAAGTATGGCACTAGACAAAGAAATGGCTTTGACCAAAAGACCTAAGAGCACACCGCAGTGACATGCACAACTAGAAGTTGTGCAGCAACAAGAAAACAAAGTACTGTGTTAACAACAACAGCAAAAGTTAAAACTACAGAATTAAAATTCCCAGGCCTCAGCATATATATATATATAATGCCTTTTGTCTAAACTTTTTCCTCAGTGGTTTTTCACATTTCCTTATTTGCTAGCTCACTTCTTTACCATGCTAAAACAATGTGTCTTTCCAGGTCAGGGATAAAGAGCAGTAAAATGTCTGTTTTAGCAAACTAGAATGGTCAAGAGCAACAAGGTGAGTTCTTATTTGTTGAGCTGGTAAGAAAGTCAGTTTGGTTTCACAAGCACAGCAGTACCATCTAGACAGATGCTTTTAGCTCATAAGCTGCCTTCAGGATACTGTTTTTGATGAGAACTGATTTGCATACCACCAAGTGTATGCTTAGAGTCTGCTAGTAGCTGATTTTGATCAGGGTGCCAATGGGCAAGAATCACCATAACAGAAAAGAAGAGCTACAAAAGATCAGAAATCATTTTCAGAAGTTCCTGTCTGGTAAGGTCAATGAAGCTACCTTTTCACTAGGAAGTGATTCGAGTTCACAAAATTCAAAACCTGCCTCACTTTTTTCTCCAGAAGGGCTGACTGAGTCCTTTGTGCTGAAGTAGATTTCTGCTGAAAAACACCCTGTTTTATGGAAACATATTAATGTTTTCAACATCTACCGGCTTGGGTGGCTACCTGCATGGATGCCAGAAGTTCAAGTGATGGCAGCTCCATGTCAGCCCTCCCATATGAATTGGAGGCACACAGCTCCTAAATCAGTTTCACCGATGTAAATCAGTCATGAAGACCTATAAAATTGAAAGAGTCACTATTCCAGGGGTCTCTGAGAGCATTTTCATCGATAGCTTCGTGCTCTGGTGTTATCTAAAATGAAGCATATAGCAACTTCTGTTCTGCAGAAAATCAGGGAATTGGGTTTTAAAGTTTGCAAGAAAACTGTTCTCCAAGCTGAAGATTGTCCATTTTGGCACACATTTCAGATGCAGACTAACTTTCAATTTGGAGAAAAAATTCGTACTGTTTACCAAACCGTATGGTCACTCATCACAGCAAAATCCATGGAGTATAAGTTGTAACTGTGATTTAAGAATGAAATTGCAATTTGTCCTACAGTTAATAATTATAATTGTGGTGTATTTGGGTATCCAGGCTGTGTCTGTGTGCACACACAGTCCACTTAGTCATGAATTCCCTGGGTGGCCCAGGAACTCCCCAGCTAGTCTCTGCACAGATGAAGTGGGCTAATTGGGAACAACAGACCAACTTGAGGAGAGGCTGCCTTCCACCAGCACAACTAAGTACTTCACTAATTATTTCAGAAGCCACCTGGGTGGGACCTTCATCCCGTCATAGAGATGCCTGCAGGTAGCTCTTGCTGGGCCAAGAGCAATAGACATACACTACTTGAATGCTTCGAAGTGCTGATTAACATCCTGGGTGGACAATCTTGCCAGACCAGGTACAAAAATTAACTACAACAATAGTTTGGGAAGTTCTGCCAATTTAAGCTGACGATGCCATGCAAGGATGCTTGTAATGGAGACTTGCACTGCCATCCTGTTCAAAAGATTTGACTCCTCATATGAGCACTACCTCATGAAAAGATTCTAAGTAGATGTTGCAGGTTTCTTGAAGTAGATGTTGCAGGTTTCTTGTGGTGGATTTTTTTTTTAACAAACACACTCTCTTTAAGTGTGTGTGCCACACCATTTCTTGAAATGCCAAAAATGTAGAAAAGCAAGGATGAGTGAGGAGAATTTTTAAAATTCAATCCTTTATCAACAATTTACATTGGGAGCCTAAAATGACAGTCAAGAATTTTACATACTGAAAAATTTGGAGGTTGTTCACAACCTTGTCCCTGTGTCCTCTGCAACTTTTCCAAACCAACAATGAGAAAGTGAACATTTTTTTCTGTTTTCCTGCTCCCATATTTTCTTTTCTTAGATTTTGACAGCAGAGATTTAACTCATGAATGTAAAATATTCTCTCTTTATGGCACTAATTTTGTTATTGCAACAAACACATTTCCAAGAAAACAATATCACAGGTGGTGAAATTGATAAATTGTGCCAAAGGCTAAGGCCTTGTCTCTACTAATAAAAATAAAAATACTAATCTACACCGAGTTTTCACTCCTTCTACGACCAGAAAATCTGCATCAGTGAGAAATCAGAGTTATGAGGTTTGCTAGTGCAGATGCGGTATAAAGAAAAGAATTAACACTTTTTCTTTGTTTTCCATGTTAGTTTGCTACCAGTGCCTGTACAACGATCCCGTAAGTCTGGAACCTAAACTTAAAAAGTACTAAGCCCCCTTTACTTCACAAATCTTAGATGAATCTGACAGCGTGTATAACCTGACTGGCGAAAGAAGAAAATGAGCAGTGTAAGTACCCTCACAAAGACCTTGATCATCATTGTCTTACAATGCTCAATCAAGGGAAATTTTAGCATTGAGCTTAACATGAATTGAAGTTCCTATACTCCTGTTTAAACAGGATTAGGATTTTTGACAAATGCCACTGAAAAGCTGACAATCTAATTAATACAAATAACTATCTTCCCCACTATAAAAATGCTCTGTATTTTAATAGTTCAATTCTGCTGTGTAGAAACTAATATGATAGCATACATTTTCTGAAATCCAAAAAAGAAAAGTCATGGTTACTTTTTTCAGGTTGTGTAATCATTTTTTCACTGAGTATATGTGCCACAAAAATATATATAGTATCATCAAATTGGAACTGAACTGTTCTTTAAACATTTTACTTCCTCACAGAAGTAAAGAAAAAAGCCACCTTGTTACATAACATAGCCATCCTGAAACATATAAAGATTTTCTTACCCCAAAGATGTGCAGATACAGAGTGCAGATGGGAGCCTAAGTACTTACAGAGGAAACTGAAGTTGTACAGGGGCCCACATACTCACTTATTCTGACTACCTCTAGCAATGAAGGTGTTGCCTCTGAGTTACTACTTCACATTGCAGTCTGATAGTTGGTTTTGGCCTCATCTCCCACAGAACCACAAGGCAAAGTTAGAAGTCATTTGCCTGCAAAAGAGATACTGTGCTCCTCCCCATGGAAGAAGGGGAAAAAGAAATTGACTGTGACAGACTCAGACTGGTGACTGCCCCGTTCCTGGAATATGTTTCTTTTTATCCAGTCAAGAGTGAAAATTGCAATTCTCCTCAAAAAAACCTCATCTCTCCAAAAGTTTCATGTTGCAGAGTAAGAGGAAAGCAAATTGAAATGACCAATGCCTTTTCTGAGGTCTGATCTCACGATGTGCTCTGTGTCTTCAGAGCACCTGTAAACATAATGGGAATCATGGGACTGAGCGTGTGCAGTACAAGGCAAAAATACGAACTCTGCCACAAAATCCAAAATCTGCAACATAAGGCGAAAATGCAGTGTCTTCGTACTGCATTTGATTGACCAACACAATAGGCACTTAATCAAGTGACTGCCCATAGGCGCTAATAAAACAGAAATGTTTAAGAACAGAAGACACGAAAGAGTTTTCTGTAGAGCTGAAATTCTGAAGACAGCTTTCAGTTCGGTTCTAATTGTATATGTGGTTAATACATACTTAATTAATTTAATAACAGTCTCTCCAATATTACAGTAGGGTTTAGGATGACATTTTTTCCTGTAACGCATCATGTGACTTGCTGGGACTGTCAAATAATTTTTCACCATCAGATGATCAGAGACTGGAAATGAGACTGAGCTTCGGGGGTTGATGCTCTGATGTGGGTTCAGCTGATGCACCGTTTTAGCTACCTGGGGTGTCTAACTCATTGACTCAGAATAGTGCTATCACCAGGTTTTCTTCCAATTCATAATGGCAAGAACCTAAGTTTTTGGGCAGAGGGAGAGGGAATTTCTTAGCTTAATTTTGCATTTTATTTTTTTTTCCTCTTTTTACCAGGTAGTTTACCTATTAAGATGCCTACCCATTGAACAGCATGCATTGAACTCTATTCTCTGCACACAGCATAAAATTTTGCTTTTGAGAACTTAATATCTGGTCTTTGTTTCACCTCCTCATAACCAGAAACAGCTCTTGAAATAATTCAGTGAAAGTCTCATGAGGTTTATTAAATACTTCTCAATCTATAATTCTAACCTGTAATATATTCAGATTATTCATCCAAGTGTTTTCCACTTCCACCCAGTGTTTTAGCTTTTTGCACAAGAACAAGGCTAGTTGACAGTTGTATTAATTACACGACAGAAATGCACATCAAGTAAAATGATTGAAATAATTATTTCAAATATTTTCTTTAAATGACTCTGTACTATGTTAAAACTGTGGGAGAGAGTATAGAATAATAAGAGCGTAGAAGAACAAAAGTTCCTTACTAGTAAGAGTTTTGTTAATCTTACAGTGTAGTAAAAACCCTAGAATGATCAGCAGAAAAAAACATTATCCTTTCTCCTTTTACTATTGCCATTTTCTTTCTGCTTTGGAGATAATTTCTGAATTGTAGTGTAATTCTAGCTTTTAACTTAATTTTTAGAAAGCTGTTAGTACATATTTCTATATGTACAGAATATGTACAGATATAGGTACAGTACAGAATATATTTATATATGAATACAGAAAATAATGTTGGCATTTTCATTAAAATAAACTGCAATGCTGCAAATCTTACATTTAAATACTGATACACACTAGTAATTAAAAAGTAATAATCAAATAAAAAGCACAGCAGAACACTTCAATTACTGATAGTAATCATAGTATAATCTTGTCCTACCAAGTGTGTCTCCAGGTACAGTTTAAGGCTGTCTGTCTCTGCTTTAGGAGGAGTCCAATTCTCTGTTGTTTCCATGGCTTCATTTAACCAGTGAATGAATTCATCCAGCTTGCTTACAAACCCCTTACCAGATAAGAAAAAAAGAGAGAACAAGAAAAGCATATTTGTTAGTAAAACGGCAATTTGAAAAACGTATGCTCAATATTTTTTTATGCCAGGAGAGTATTGTACAGTAAAATTTTGCCTTTTACAAACATGCAAAGAAAAAAACAATTACAAAGTGCCCTTCTAGTAAACGAGAAGCAGAACAGTATTTCTGGGGACAAGCTAAGGTGATATTTTGGAACAGGACAATGTGAGATCCATATGACACTGATGAAATGGGGAAAACAGCAAAGTTTTAGAAGATATGAGGGGGATATATAAAAAGCTGCATATAGATTACAATGACAATCGAGCTGAAGACCTTGCGCTGGGCAGACTGGGTGTAGTATGAGCACTGTTGGTTGAAAAAAGTGCTGAACAAAGATGCATTAACAAGGTATATATCAGGAGACTGAGGAAAGAAGCTACTTGTCAGAACTTGGGTCTTGTGATTCCTGTTTTGGTTCATAGGATGAGACTCAGAAGAAATCAAACAGTAGGTGAGGCAGAATATATAGCATTTAATATAAATATTGCTGATTGCATATGAGCCACACAGATGGTGCTTCTGAAAAGACAGAAGCACCATTTATTTCAAGATTAGTACCAATTACTTTGTCTGATTAAAAATAGTGCCCCTGCATTTACATGATTGGATGATACTATAGGCACATACTGAGTACAGATAATTTTACCGAAGTCTTATCCACCACAAAGCACGACAGCAAATGGAATAAACTGACCATGATGTTTATAAGCACCCTGAAAATTAACTCTGAAGGGGAATGTCCATCTATTACAAGCATCATAAGACTAGATAAAGTTAGGTCTGATACTGGTTATATTATTAGTTATTAACTATAAATTTTGCAGCACAGTGAGAATTTTAATTTCCAGTTGGATAACAACTCAGTATACACACTCAGTATCTCACTCTCACCACTTTACTTATGGAATGATTTATGACAATTATTAGCCCATTCAGATAGCTAAAAGCAAGCTAAGCATAAAACTTTTAAAGATTCCTGAGTGACTCAGAAGCCCAAATCCCCTTCTCCAAAGTGGTACATGAAATTGGAATTCTAATGGAGACAGAAACAGGAGTTTGAGCAGTTGGCGCGCAGCTGTGTTACGCAAAAAAGTGCAACGGTAATAACCCAGACCAAGCAGAACCATACTTCCTTCAAAATTCATGGTAACAGAGTCGTTTTGGCCCAATGCTGGGCCAAGAAGCAGGGCCCAATAATCAACTCCTGGCCTCCAGCTGAAGTGGCAGTGCTTCTGAACCGAAGCTCACCTCCAGCAGGACAGTCCAGTGCATACTGCAGGCATGATAGCACCCACTGAGGCACTCTGAAGACTTTGTTTTAATTATTATTACTTTTTATATGAGTGCCTACAAGTCCTCAGCCTGAGAAGGCTATTGTCATCTCTATTCGTGGAATCCACTGTATCTCAAAGCATTATATGGAAGAAAATTGATATTCTGTGAGTTTTGTTGTAAGCTGTTGATCAGGACATTCCAGAAAGGTGGAAGGAAGACAGGGAAAACAACCCAGTGGACATGGTGCCTTCACTCTGGGGCAAGTACTAAAGGTAGCTTCATCTCCTCTCTCCCACAGCAGGCCATGTTCCTCACATCAAGCCATGGGACAGAGCGGGGCAAGATGTTCCCCTGGCTCTGTCGCTTGCTTTCTTTCATCTTGCAGTGGAGCATAAGAGATGCCAGGCGAGCAGAAGAGTGGGAGATGAGAGCTGAGAGGGAGAGGAGCAGAAAGAGTGAAGTCCTTCTAGTCCCTCCAATAAATCTCTGCCTGCCTTTTAGCAATGTGCTGTCCTTGAAAGACAAGATGATATGGTAAGCACAAAAAAATGAAGAAAGGCTCTCTCCTGTATATGTGTCATGTATTTTACAGAGACAGACACGTGTAACATCTGCCTGCAGTACTCAATGTCTGTATGCCTTCAAAAGCGCACTCAGAAACATGCATCAGTATAAAAAGCAACTACTAGTGACCGAGTTAGTTCTGCGCTCTCACAAAACGGGCCCGCGTTTAACTGCTCGCTGCTTCACCTCGGTGCTTGGAAACTCGCAGCAGCGGGCTCTGGCAGCCAGGCATGCACCCCCTCACCGTACAGCTGAGGTGGGCTGCGGGGCTAGATTGGGGGCCTCGGAAAAACCCCATAGATACAGTCTCCTACAGAGCCACAATGAGCCAAGTTACCCGAGAAAAAAGCGGAAAGGCCGCCAGCACCCCGTCCCCTGGGGCGGGAGGGCCGTGCTGCGGACACAGGGCCCGAGGGCAGCCCGGCCGCGGCCAGCCCCGCGGGCTGTGCTTCTGCCAGGCAGCACACATTACAGTCAGCTGACTGTTTTTCAAATGACGGCGACAGAATTTTATTGAAACCGTTCAAAAGCGGACAGCTGCGGAAACCGGGGACAGCGCAGGGACGGCGAAGGGGAGGGAAGGGACGGGAAGGGAAGCTAAGGCCGGGCAGCGCGAGGCCGCCGGCGAAGGGAGCGCCGCCCT